GATCTATTTATAAAAACCAGCCAATGAAAATTCTATAAGTCAGTCTACAATTGATCCTGGAGACATTTCAAGACTAGCTAGCATTTTGCTTCATTACGAATGGGATCTCCATGAATCAGGACCAATGTGATAGCAGCTGACAATAACAATTCTTCTACCTTCATCTTTCATACTTTCAATCAGTTCCCCTAAATCTTTCTTGCCCCCCCTCTTCTCTCTCCGTTCTCATCATCACTACTTCAGGTCAGGGCTCACTACTTCTTATCAGGGCCATTGTAACTGCTCCCCAGTCAGGCACTTGGCTTTATGTCTGTTTGACTCCATTCTTTTGTCCTCGGTCATGAGAGTGTGGTATTCACATTATGTTATTCCCAAGCTCAGATTTCTCAGTGGTTGGTCATGGTTCTTGAGATCAGATTAAAAAATTAGGACTTTTAAAACCTGTCACATGGACTTAGCTATACCCATTCTGACTTAGCTATGCCCATTCTTGAATCTCAACTATATATTACTTACCTTTCTGCAGTTGTTTCTTACATTTTCATCCTTCTGTGCCCCTGCATGTGCTACATCCTTTGCCTGGAATATCCTGGCTTTCCACTAATTTTTTCCCTATTGGCTAACTCTCACTTGCCCATTGGCTCAAGCACCACTTTCTCTAAGAGATGTAGACTGCTTCCCCAGCAGGGGTTAGAAACAGCACCCAATGCAGATGTCACACGCATTGCCCTCGTGTAGATGCCAACTCAGAGCGACCCAATAGGACAGAGTAGAACTTGCCCTGTGGGCTTCCACGACTGTAACTTGTTAAGGGTGTAAAAAGCCTTATCTTTCTATTGCAGAGCAAATGATTGGTTTTGAACTGCTGACCTTGTAGATAGCATCTCAAAGCTTAACCCACTAACTGTCCCTGAGGCTTGAAGTCTTTAAGATCTAGGAATGTGTACCATATTATAACCCTGCCATTTACATCATTTTTTGTTGACTCCACAGTTGAGACCACTATCTCATTTACTCTATGGAAGGCCAAATCATGTGGATGAGTCCAATTAATTGAAATAACAAGGTCAACCTGAACTAATGCTACATCTTAGGATATTGACAAATCCCAGGGATATTCAATGACAAACTCTGTCATGTCTCTGGCTATCAAAGAGACAACGGACACTGTCCAAACACAATAGAAGGTCTTTCTTCCCTCAGATCTGCTGCATTGGCACTTAGGAAAGCCTTGTTTTCTCTTGACAACATGCAATCATACAAGATCTTTGAAACACTCTCTGAGCAGTACATAGAGTCTTGTTGTTACCCAGAAACTGCAAGGTGTTTGGGTTGGTGCTTACAGGGGTCATCAGATGCTTTGGTTAGGAAACTTGTGGATTACCTGGTTTGGATGTGAATAAGAAGATGATGTGTCATGGAATCATGGCTCAAGTTTAGGACAGGTGTGCTCAAGGTCAGAGCAGGAACATAAAACATTTGTTTCATTCAAGTAGGTAGGATCAGTCAGAGCTGGAGAAAGTTCTGAGCATGGTGGCTTAGTCAATTATTGTGAACTCTGAGATATTCAAGCTAGGGATATGCTGGCACATTTCAGAATTGAGAGCTAAAAAAAATGAAGCAAAACTTGTTGGGGAAAATTAAGAAAATCCAGGCAACCCAGCATCTCTCATTTTCTTTTTCTCCCTCAAAGAAAGACAAGCTCACTGGAAGCTAAACTGAAGTGGTAACAATTCTCCAATCTAAACAAGAGACATAATGTGAATTCACAGAAGATTGTATTAGGGCTTGTATTTTAGGCATTTCTAAGAGGGCAAGAATGAAACTAATTTGCCACATGTGGTACCTGTAAACACAGAGAAGTACACACACAAAATTAAGAAGTGAAACAAAACTTATAAGCTGACACCACTAAGAGAGTTCCCTTCAGCACTAAATCCGTGATTCTCCTCCTGTCTTGATGGTTTTCCTGACAAGAAGAGAAATGCCCTGAAATTGCAGTAACATTTCCTTTGCACACTGTTGTGAGCTCTTATTTTCAAAGCATTCTCTTGCAAACATTCATTTGCATGTCAAATTAACAGATGTGAATTTCAAAAACCCAGTTACGAGTAGCAATATCTCTACTGCCAGAAGGTATCAAATGCTAAGAAAAAAAATACAGCTTTAAAAAATATTTAATAATATACACGTAATGTTACTAAAGAGGATGGGTACTGAATTTCTGCGAAACACACAAATAAGCAGCAGCAAGATAGTGTTGTTTTATATGAAGCTGTCTCAGAAGCCTCTTTGGGAAGCTATTTCTATAAACACATTTGCAATCTCTTTTGAAAGCACCTTAAGAGACCGTTGATGCAAAACTATTAGTGGAGTAGCTAGCAGTCTTTAACCACTCACCTTGGGGTTTGCAGCCTCACACATAACTCACTAGGCCACCAGGGCTCCTTTCAAAAGGCTTAAATAAATGGAAAGATGTTTCATGCTTATGCTTTGGAAGATTTATTACTGTTAAGATAGTAATACTACTCAAAGTAATCTATAGCGTCAAAGCAATCTTGTTCAAAATTCTAACGGTCTTTGTTGTTCTTGCACACATTCAGTTCCAACTCACAGGAACCTTGTGTACAACGAAAGGAAACACTGCCCCGTCCTGCAATATCCTCACCATTGTTCTTGTGCTTGGACTCATTGCTGCAGCCACTGTGTCCATCCAGTTTGTTGAGGGTCTTTTTCTGGATCCCTCTACTTTACTAGGCATGCTGCCCTCTTCTATGGACTAGTCTTTCCTAATAACGTGCAAAGTACGTGAGATAACTTCTCACCAACCTTGCTTCTCAGAAGCATTCTGGCTGTACTTCCTTCAAGACAGATTTGTTTATTCTTTTGGCAACTGTGGTACTTTCAATATTCTTTGCCAGGATCATAATTCAAATGCATTGATTCTTCTTCAGTCTTCCTTATATGTTATTCAATGAGGTAATCGAAAATGCTATGGCGTTGGTCAGAGGCACCGTATTCCTCAAAGTAACATCATTTTACTTTCAACACTTTTGAGAGTTCTTGTGCAGTAGATTCACCCAATGCAATGTGTCACTCCATCTCTTGACTGCTGCTTCCATGAGCATTGATTGTGGATCCTTACTTGAAATATCGTTGACAACTTAAAGCATATTTTCTCTGCTTATAATGATGTTACCAATTAGTCCAGTTGTGAGGATTCTTGTTTTCTTTACAATGAGTTGTAATCTGTACTGAAAAGTTCAGTGTTTGACCTCATCACTCTCAGCAAGCGAGGCTGTTTCTTCCACATGCTGCAGAAATTCTGGAGGGATAGACTCAGGGTTGTTCTTGTAGACTTATTTTAAATTTTTTCAGCTTCAAACTGAATTTGCCTTTGAGTAACTGATAGTCTTGTTCCACAGTTGGCTGAGATGTTTCTGACCCAGAGAGAGCCTATGCGTGCACAATACCACGCACTGCCCAATCCTCATGATTTGTCCTGTGCTTGAGCCAACTGTCACAACCACAGTGTCAACCTTGAAGGCCTTCTTCTCTTCCGCTGCCCCTCTCCTTCACTAAACAAGAGGACCTCTCCAAGGACTGGTCTATGCTGACAACATGTCCAAAGTATGTAAGATGAAGTTTCGCCATTCCTGCAGCTAAGGAGTACTCTGGCTATACCTCCTCCAAGACTGGTAGCAAGGCTATTTACATCCCTGACTATACCTTAGCTTACCTAGTAAAGAATGTTTGGGCAGTGTATTCTTTTTTTTATTATTAAAAGATCATTTTATTGGGGGCTCTTACAACTTTTATAACAACCCATACATCAATGGTATCAGGCATATATGTACATATGTTGCCTTCATTCTTTTCTAGACAACTCTCTTCTTTTTTTAAATAATTTTATTGGGGGCTCATATAACTGGTATCACAATCCATACATACATCAATTGTATAAAGCACATTTGTACATTCATTACCCTCATCATTCTCAAAACATTTGCTCTCCACGTAAGCCCCTGGCATCAGCTCCTCATTTTCCCCTTCCCTCCCCACTCCCCTCTCCGCTCATGAAACCTTGATAATTTATAAATCATTATTTTGTCATATCTCACAGTCTGATGTTCTAGACAATGTTCTATTGAGTCGTTGGCAACAGCTCTTTTCATTTCCATCCACCCTTCCTCCCACCTTCGTGACTCCTTGATAAATTATAAATCATTATTATTTTCATATCTCACACTGACTGCGGTCTCCCTGCCCCAGTGTATTCTTTTAAGAATATGGAGGTGAGATCAAATTGACAACAGTGACTCAAAACAGCTGGAAAACTTGGGGAGAAGTGGTTTATGTTAATGGGAGAGGAACAGTTTGGAAAAGGATAGAGGGAAGGGCTTCATAACTTGAACAATTTAGTCCGTGTTATTGGATTGTACATGTAGAAATTGTTGAATTGGTTTATGTTTTGCTGTGTATATTCTCAACAACAGTAAAAATTAAAGCAAATGAAAATAATTTTTAAGCAATTATGGGAAGTATCAGAGTACTACTACGCAGAGATAGAAAACACTCTGAAGCAAATTCCTTCCCTGAAATTCTCCTTTTTAGAGGAACAAAATGTCTTCCAAAATTTTATTTGAAAACTTTTAAGTTTATCAACCACGTTTTAAATTTTAAAAACAGAACCAGTTTGTCACAGGAGCCTAGTGAAAACCTAGTCATTTTATAACATACAATATTTACCAATTAGAGACACAGCAATTCCTAGAATTTTTTTCTACAGGCAGGATATTCTTACAATGCTCGTCTATCCCTTTACAGCCATTCTAGGACTGTGCCCACATCAGTGTCATGGTCCAACCGAACAGCCTTCTGGGAGGGAAGACTGCTAGCTGGTCTCTGCTGAAACACAAAGCTGGCACAATGTGCTTCAACGACTGCACAACTCCAATGTGAAAAGCAAAGGGAGCAACAGCAGCCACTCTGGCCCATACCTGAAGGGAGCTTCTTTGTGGAACTGTTCCCAGAACTGCTGCTGCTCAACATCAAAGGCCGTGCACCTCTGCCGGAGAAGGGTCACCTCATTCGCTTGCAGCGGGGCCACCTGCTGTCGCACCGTGATGGCCATCTTTTTAATATTATTCCATTTCTCTGGCAGCTCCTGCAGAAGAGGCTTCAGTGTGGTCAGGCTCACACTGTGTTCCCTCTTCCCCACAGATCTGAAGATGAACTGAACTCAGGTGTCTTCATCTATCGTAACAGGTCATGTGGTATCAATGTGGTACCATTGGCCCATTTTCTACAAGCCCCACCTTCCTCAGCTTTTTTACCTCGGTTGCCCACACTCCTGATTACCTCCTTCCTACCTCTGAGTCGACACTAGAAGGGGGCTTCCAGAAGTTCATTTAAAAATCCCATTATCTTTCTCATTCCACATTCCTATAATCTTTTTGAAGGCCCTTGGATTCCTCCACTATTAACACAGTGATCATCTTGCTAATATTAGTGAAGAGCATTTGTTCATTCTTGCTTAAGCCCTACAATTTCTCATGGAGTATTTAACATCACTTAAACCGGATTTTCCCTCATTAATTAAAAAAAAAGTAGATCATTGTTAAGTTTGGGGAACCAAATGACTCTGTACATATCCCTTCTCTCATCTATATTCAGCATTATATTCTCTCATGACTGACTGAGTTTCCCCAGTGTACCAGACATTATAGATATGTTATTCACTATCGCTCTGAAACACGCATTTCGAGTCATCACCAAGACCCCCCTGCTTTTCAGCTACTTCAACCCACCCCATTTAAAAATGCTGACACTTTCACGCTCCTTTCTTCTCAGAGAAAAAAAAAAAAAAAGAAAAGGAAGTTTGGTACTCACCTCCAGTTGCTTAAACACTGTAGCAGGCAACTCTTGTTCATAGGTCTTCAACAACTCAATAGTCTGCTTCAAGGGCTCGAACATATCATCTGTGCTGCTCTGCCGTTTCTTCAGAGCCATAAGGTGTCCCATAATCTCAACCAGACCGTCAAAATCTCCTTTTTCTACATTCATCAGCAAGCCACTCTCACTATTTCTTATGAACGCTTCAAGGTCAGCCAAGCTAAGCAAAGCAAACAGAATATGAGGAGGCCTCCTCCTCCCACTCCTGAAAAGGAGCTCTATCCCCGCCCCCCAAATAATAGTGTTTATTATTATTATAAGTATTTATATTATTATATATATATTATTATTATAAAGTAAAATTGAAATGGAATTGGAGCCTTTAATGAAAAAAGTTCACCTGAAACAAACAAAACTGTTATTATTATGAAAAACTTAACATGTACCAAGAACTTTGCTAACTATTTTACATCTACTATACTCATATACATTAGACAGTACACACGAGTTCCTGAGAAAAGATATCATGCTTGGTAAAGGATCAACCAAAAAGAGGAAGACCACCAAGGAGATGGATTGACACAGTGGTTGCAACAATGAATTCAAACATAGCAGACTTGGGTTTGAACTTGACACTTAGTTCCGAACAGTGACTGTGGCCAAGTCATTTAATGATTCGGGGCCTAGTATCCTCACCTGTCAATTTAGAACAATAATCTCTGTTTCACTAGTTATTGTGAGAGTTAAATTAGACTCATTCTTTGATTAAATATATAGAGAGAGCATCTTTGGACTGCTGACTACAAGGTCAGTGGTTCAAAGCCAACAGCCACACCATGGAAGAAAATAAGGATATGTGCTCCCATAAACATTGATAGTCTCCAAATTCTATTGCGACATTCTTAGGTACGTAGCAACTGGGATCTTAAATGCCCATAAGCAGCCATCCAAGGTGTAGCTATTGGTCATTCTCCAACCGGGGTTGGGGATGGGTGGGGAGGGGGTTGTAATGTAAATGAAAGAGGTGTGGATTAATTAATTCAAAAGGCTAATGAAACATATCAAAAATCAGTCTCTATAACCCTGACACCAGAGGAACTAGGTAGTGCTTAGTCATTCCTGGAGTTGTTCTGAAAAGAATCACATTGCAAGGTCCTGTAGAGAATGGGAGCAACATGTGGAACAAAACTCAAAGTCATAAAAGAGACCACATTTGCAGATGGGAAAGAGATAGGTAAACACCCAAGACTATGGCCCTTCAGGAAGTGAACTCACATTGGCATATGTATCCAATGTCCAAGTTCAGAGATGGATGGATGAAAGAGGAATTAAAACAGGAAACACAGGGAACTAGCACAGTAGGTACATTAAGGGGATTGCAACAGGTGACTTGAAACAAAATGTGTGTGAATAGTTGAGTGTAAAAGTGATGCTTCAGCTCTGCAAACCTTTACCTGACTACACAAAGTTAAAAATAAAGAGTTACCGCCTCAGAACCCCTACCTAGTTTCGCTCTGAGTTGGAATGGCCTCAGTGACAGTGGGTTGGTTTGTTCCTGAGTCTTAGCATGCTTCTATGTCCTGAAGATGGAATGGTAAGGCAAACAAAGACTCCACTCGTATGCAGTTAGCTTTTCTAGTAGGAAAGAAGAATACTAAGCAAAACAATTTCAAGTAATAATAAACACTACAAAAATAAATAAGAATAAGGGGCTAGAGAGAGTTAGGATGCGAGTGGTCAGTGAAGGCGTCTTTTTGGAGTTGATATTTGGATAGAACTTAAATAATGTGAAAGAGTGAGTGACAGAGTACTCTAGGTAGAAGCAGCAGCAAGAGAAAAGGACCCGAGGCTAAACACCCTGTAGTTTAAATTTATACCTAAAGGCCTAGAAAACATGAGTCTAGAAAAGAAACTGCTAGCAATTGATTGTGTCTACCAGAAACTATGCTCAATACTGACCCCTGGTACCTGTACACGTGGCTATTCCAGGAATTAAGGTCTTTGAAGATGCTAAGAGTTAGTGGAACCTGAGTCATAATCAAGTAAGGTAAATCCCAATCTTATATCCGTATTGTCCTCATCAAAGAGAAGATGCACAGACCCAGGAAGACAGAGGAAGGTGTCACGCTACACAGCAGTTTCAAGCCAAGGAGCATCGGAAACTACCAGGCGCTAGAAGAGAGGCATGGAACAGACTTTCCTTCAAGTGGAAGCAACATGACTGCCACCTTAATTTGGACTTCCACTCTCAGAACCATGAGACTATTTATTTCTTTTCAGATAAGCTACCCATTCTTATTTTGGTGTCTTGTAACAAGTCTTGGGAAAGTGAGCAATACAGACACAAGGAAGGCATGGCTAATGAGACGGAAGGGAAACAAGGGGAGAGAAATATCATGAAATCCAACGGAAGAAACTGCTTAGGAAGGAGGGAGTGACCAGACGTGACAAATACCACCAAGAATTACAGGAAGATAAACCAAACTCCAATCTCACTGCCATCAACTGGATTCCAACTCACATCCTATAGGACAGGACAGAACTTCTCCTGTGGGTTTCTGAGACTGCAAATCTTTATGGGAGTAGAAAGTCTTGCTTATCTCCCATGGAGTGGCTAGTGATTTCCAACTGCCGACCTTGAGGTTAGCAGTCTGACAAGTAACAACTACGGTATTCAACTGTATTCAATTATATGAAATGTTTCAAGATCTTGACAAGAAGAATTCAGTGGAGTGGTGTACCAGAAGCCTGACAGGAGAGCAAGATAGAAAATGCTGGAGTTCTGCTTCTAGCTGCATGGCCTCTCTGATCAGCAGATGAGAAGAAAAATAATGCATCACTATGATAGCATGAAATTAAAGAATTTCCAGAGGCTGGAAATGTAATGGAGGCAAGAACCTGAGGAACAAAAAAGATCCAAAGCTTGTTTCTAAAAGATACCAACTCCTGGGGACTTTGACCTTCAAATCTGACTGCTTAATGGAATGTAAGTGACAGGTAAGCCTAAACCATATACCTGGTGAGGTGTCCAATGGAATACTGCATGCAATGTTGAGTCAGCCAAAACCTACAACCTGCTGCCAGTTAGTCAAATCTGACTCATAGTGGCCTTACATAGGGTTTCCAGGACCATAAATCTTTACAGGAGCAGATAGCCTCAATGTTCTCCTGTGGAGCAGCTGGTAGGTTTGAACTGATGACCTTGTAGCTAGCAGTTCAGTGTCTAAGCCTCAGAACTACCAGGGCTCCTTTGGAACACCATACAGATAAGTAAATGATAACTACATGGCACAGGAGGGATGGCATGTCACCCTGCCTGTCTTGACCTTGGCACTGGATGAACTACTCTGGGTTGAAGTCCAAGGTGGTCTGGGACTGGTATATTTCTTCAAAGACTAGCAGGAAAATATCGCAAATCTTTTCTGGAGTAACATGTCTAGAATATATTCCTCAAAGGATTCCCATAAGTAAAACTCCAAGTAATATAACTATACAATGAAAACGACAAAACACACATCACAACCTCTGAAGTGAGTGCCATCAGAAACAAACAAACAAAAGTAGAAGACTTTAGATCTTGGAGTAAAATAGCTATATTTGAAACAGTTCATGGACAAAAGAGCCCATGGCTAGGTTCCTTCCTCATTATTCCTTTCCCACACAGAAATGTAAAGGGCCTGTTCTGCCGTTGCTGGAACATCACCTCAAGCCTAACTAAGAAAACGCTTTCACTTAAGCACAGTATGTCAGTGAGTTTAAAGACAAACTTCAGAACCCTAAAGAAGCTCTTCTGATCTTACTGGTCATTACTACCATTTTCCTCCAGCTTATCCTTTCAGTCCAAACATAAATTCAGACCCAGGAATAGAGTTAAGAGGCTTCCCAAGTTACCCAGAATCAGTGACAGGGCATGGGCTGTGTGGAATAATGGGTGCAGAGAAGTGGTGGAATGACTGAAGTGGCTAACATAAAAAGGATGGCCCGGGATCACATCACTGAAGAGAGGCACAGAGAAGACATTCAATGTGCGCTCACCAGTGCAGAGTTAACCACCTTGTGCTGAGCTGATGGGCACTTAGAGGAGAAAGAAACAATAATATTTGTAGGCCTTTACTTCCGCCTTAAGATTCACTGTCGTAAAGTTGACGTCAACCCATAGTGGCCCTAAAGGACAGAGCAGCGTGGCCCCCTGTGTGTTCTGAGACTCTCACTGTTCATGAGAGTAGAAAGCCCCATCTTTCTTCCATCCTTCAGATATGGTGTGAAAGAATCAACCATTTTAATTTGACAATCAAAAAAAATTTAACATCATTCTTAATAAACCCATTCCAAGCCTTTAAAAGCAAATAAAGCAGGCCGGAGATCTGGAGCAGAGAGCACGTCTTCTCTTGGCTGTAGATACTGAGCTAAGTCAGTTTCCGAGGACAGCCTCGGCCAATGGCAGCAAGACAGTCAAACTGCCTAGTCTCGAATCCCCTTCCAACCCCAAACATCATAATTACAGCACTGGGGGTACTGGAAGAGGTTGGGGGAGGGAAGGAGCTGATAGCAGTGTTGACAGCATAACCCCACTCGAGAGGAATAAACAACAGAATTGCATGTGAGTGGACATAGTGGATGGTGTAAGATATAGCATAAATAAATAAATAAGGGTTCCTGGGGGATAGGGGGGGGAGGGTAGGGATCCAAAGGGAATCTGATATCAAGAAGTTCAAGAAGAAAGAAAATATTTTGAAACTGATTGTGGTAGCAATGGTACAATACTGCTTGTTGTGATTGAACTATGGAATGTTATACCTGTAAGAGCTCCCAATAAAACTGATAAAAAAAAAAAAAAGCAAATAAAACAGAAGACTTAAAGTTTGAGCACAAAATAAAAGCATGAAACCTGGCAAGTCAATTGGTAAAATAACCAAAAGGCTAGATCTAGACATGAAAAGTGTGTTTAAAATGTAAAGCTTAATCAATGAGTTAGACAAGAGCCGAAAAGGAGAATTCAAACGTTAATAATGTTCACACTACAGTGCAAAGATACAAAAACAACAAAAAGTTGCTGGAATATAGAGGATAGTGAGAAGATCTTAAGTCAGAGTGTCAGGTAACACTTGAGGGTGTCATGGCTGGGGATTTTCTTGAATGGATGTAAGAAAAATAAGACTCAGAAAGTTCTGGCTTAGGAAGAGAGACAGCCAGGAACTGGACAATGAAACGATGCCACCG